GGTCAGCAGACCCCATTGGGTTCTGTGCTGTTGCTGTGACTGGGGCTGCTCCTGACCCTGCAGCTTCCGCCATGAAGTTCTACAATAACGGCAAAATATATGTTAATGAAAATGCACTTGAACATGCACGTGCGGGAGTTATGATGAAGCTGATCTCAAAATGTTTTTAACTTATGAAATTCAAATGGTTTATTCCTCAGAATCACTTCGACCAAAGAAATGGGACTAATTATGGAACAAGTGATGTGATCCTTTATGGGAAGGAATCCCAAGAAAAAGGCTGTCACCTTGCCTCATAGTCATACTTGGAGGGTGTTTGGGGAGGCTTATTTCTTTGGTCAAACGAGCTTTCAAGCTAGCTTTTATTTTCTACCTATTTGGTAAAATGCCAAATAAGTTTAGCTTATAAGTCACATTTTAAAAAGCTAATATACCACAACTTTTGAAAAAATAGCTTATAAGCTCTTAGGTTTGATCAAGCAAATTACTATTGTACTCAAAACAATTTTTATAGTATTTTTATCAAAAAAAACCAAAAGCCATTAAGAGTCGGCATAACTTATAAGCTTTAAAAATAATCCTTACCAAATGGTCCCCATGAATCTTGGGTCCAAGACAAAAGCCCTTCATACATTATCAGTGTTCTAAAAAAGGGTTTAAGCACCCCACTAGATCTCCCGTTTAAATGGAAGTGGCATAAAAACGCACGAGTTTGAGCTATTCGCTCAATTACGAGTACATCTGCATAATCGGCTGATTTTTAAGTAAGTACCCGCATAATTTGTTTATGCGCTGCTTTCTTTTTAAATTTGATTGCGGGTTGAGCTGTTTACCACAAACCCGGTCCAACTAACTGAAGTAAAATAAATAAATAAATAAAATCTCTCATCTTTTTTTCCCAAATACGCGATTCTCTCTCTCTCTCTCTCTCTTCCTCTCTCTCTCTCTTCTCTTTGTACTCGTGCGAACCTAGCGACTGCGACAAGACTCCGGCCTTCGTCCTTCCTTATCTTAGCTCGACAAAGCTTCCGTCTCCAACAAAACAGTGTAGTTCTATCTTCGACGAAGCATCTCATCGCATCAAAGATCAGTTCAAAGTATTTTCATTATATTTAATTTATGAAGCATAATTTGTGTTTATTTAAGAATTACATTTGGGTTTTTGTTAGGCAATTTACTATTTTGGTTTATAGACGTTTAGTTTCAGTTAACAAGTTTTATTTAAGTATCTAGTTACTTTTGGTGTATGTATTTAAACTTTTAAGTAGTTAACTAGTTATCATCTAGTTACTTGATGTACAGATTTGACTTTTATGTAGTTAAAAAGCTATTGATTATTAAATTCCATGTTTGTTGGTCTTTTTCTTAGTATATTTTCTATTTTCATGAATATTATATATTTTAACATATGATAAACAATAAATACATATTACAAATTTCAAAACACATAATTCCGCATAATCCCATTAATCAATGAATCCGATTAATCATTAGGCACTCCCGAGCGGCGCACATAATAAAATCATCTTTTTGAACATTGTACATTATTAGTTATAACAGAGAGCCTTTGATGAACATGTGATAAATGAATAACACAAAAAAAAAGACTTAGCATAGAGTCATAAGTATGGCCAAGTCCAAACTCAGGGACAGTGCAACTTCCTTTCACAAACCATATGACAATTCTGGATCTATAATATTCAAAGGGGAAGTAAAATATTGTGAGAAAAAGGCATAAACATAGAACATGTGGCTTGTCATGCATAGCCTCTACATGATATATTTGTCTAATTCCAGCAACAAATAGAATATATCAGTGACGTTGTTTATTAAAAAGCAATGTACATGAGGACTGTTAAGTCTTTTGTTAAAAGTTCAATTAAGCTAAATTTCAACTCTCCACCCACGAACAGATTAACAACCGATAGCACAATATTCAACTGCCTTTCTACTTTGGTTACCATGAATTTTAAGTCTGATTTCTATTATGGGTGTGGTTGGCGCAGGGGCAGAAATGTTGTGGTTGCGTGTTTCTTTTTTCTTGGAGGTGTAATAGGCAATAAAAAGACTGGGGATAATGCATCTGATTCACTGCATTGGAATTCACTCGTTCTAAAATTGAAATCAAAATCATTATTCTTTAAAAAAATGAAAGGCAGTGAATTACAATTCACTGCAAAACTAAAATTCCACTTCTAGCCACGAGCACTTAATTACCACACTATTAACTATATAATCTATATACCAACCAAATCAAGTTTGGACGCCCCCTCCCTATTCCACACATATTCGAACGAATTCAACTTCGAATTAACTGGAGCAAACCAAATTCAAATTCAAAAACTAAGGTATTTGATTTGCTTCTTTTAGTTTCCTACCCTAGCCACCATCCATTACCTCACCCAAAACACTTATCGTAAGACTTGTATGCATAGGGTATCATGCACAGATGTGATATTTGGTCCAACGAATAAGAATAACTTTCTGGAAATTCGTCCAAATAGTGTATAATAAAATTTGCTGGTTTACACATAACGATAATTTACAAGAATTTCCAGTATCATTCTCATTACTACTTAACAAATTCAAGGAGATTAGAAGGATAGCACATGAACATGATGATCAAGTTATTGAGTCCTGAAGCATGGTATTTTATGAAGGAAAATTGTTGTAAGAGTTCTGCCAATTCAAGCCAAGGTTCTAAACATCTGACGTCGGGTTCATGTCGGATTGTAGAAATAGGGGATATGTCAGGGGATATATAGTAAATATCAGATTGCCATATTGGATCGCCCCCCCCCCCCCCCCCCCCCAAAAAAAAAAAAAAACACAACCTAAGCATAATTAATAAATTCTATTGTCTAAACACAAAAAAATGTAAATAAACCAATTGTAGAAACTCGATCCTCGATTTAATAGTACCAAAAAAATCAACATTCCCCTAAATACAATCTAAGCATAATTAATAAATTTTATTGTCTAAACACAAAAAAATGTAAATAAACCAATTGTAGAAACTCGATCCTCGATTTAATAGTACCAAACAAATCAACATTCTAGCATATATTTGCATCAATTTTAGAATATTCCAACTCAATTATCAAATTTATTCCAACTCAAATATCAAGCTAACATCTAAAATTATTCAAAAGTTAAAACTTAAGAGGGACAGACTGAGAGACTTAGAGAGAGACAGAGACTTAGTAAAACTAACATCTAAAATCAATCAAAAGTCAAAAGTCAAAATATATAACTAACATCTAAAATTACTAAAGAGAGACTTAAGAAAGAGGGAGAAAGACTGAGTGAGAAGGGGTTTTTTTTCTTTTTATTTTATTTTATTTTATTTTATTTTATTTTTTTTTTTTGGGGGGGGGGGACCTTGAATAGTCGAAATCATAGTTTTCAAACTTGAAGCTCGAATAGTCGAAACCCTTGTTTTCAAACTTGAAGTGCGAGGGGAGGATGGAGGGAGTCGTCTATTTGGTGAAAAAAGCCCAAAACGAACATCGCAGCCTATTTGGGTGTTTTTATATGGGATTCGGGTTCGGGTTTGGGTTCGGGTCGGGTTTTCTGTGCACAAGGATAAAACCACTAACCCAAAGTTGGGTTAAATAAAAACTTAGCATATCGGGCGTAATTTCGGTCTGAAATTGTGCCCGATATGTCCCCTAAATCCCAATAAGTACATTCGACATTGCGTGGACAATGTCATGGCAGTTTGGGTTTGAACCCACCATGTTGGCCGCCATGTCATTTAAAACACTGATTCAAGCAAATAACAAGTCCAACCATCCAGAGCAAATTGGAACTCAATTTGGAGGAAAGATAGTGGTTACATTAATCATAAGTTAATTAACTATATTAATTTTGCTTTTATTAAATAATAAATATATTAACTTCTTGTAGGTGAATCCTGAAGGACCTTTCTTTGCAATATTGGAATGTTGGCCAATTAATGAGAGCATCCCATTTTGGCTTCTACAGCATATCATGTTTTAGTCATTCTGATGTAGTGAAGTTAACCATTGCCTTCAAGTCAGATTTTAGTATTCTTTCCAAAGCTATTCATGAGAAGCGAGCATTTCAGAAGCCTAACACCAGCAAGGCCCAATTGGGATAAGAGGCATTTTCTCACCAAAAAAAAAACAGTATGGACATCATTCTTTTTGGTTTATGGTAGAAAATTTATTTAATAATTTAAACTGTGCATAAAAATCTTATACAACCTGGCTTTTAGATATTGTACTCGGGTGGTTTTGAAGATGACAAAATGACAACACGACCACATGCAATTATGAGAAATTTGCAATTAAAATTTATTAACTTCTTTACCGATGTGGCTTAGCGTAGATCTTTTCCAGTGTAGGAGACTCATGCTTGGTGTTTGTTTTGTAGCCTTTAAAATGATAACTACATATACCATAGTTCCCATTCTTAGCATAAGAATTTGTGTGAATTATATCACAATTAAAGTTTATAATTTCTTTACTGATGTGGCTCAGCATAGATCTTTCCAATGTAGGAGAACTCATGCTTGGTGTCTGCTTCACAGCCTTCCTTGCTCCTTGTAGCAGAGCCTTGCTACATGGAAGTTCTGCTCATCATCTGGAGCCCTACCTTCTTGGTTGTAGCAGCCTTGCTACTGGGAGTTCTGGAGCCTTTCCTTGCTTCCTATAGGTAGTATACTTGCTACCAGGAGGTGGACATTTTGGTTTCTTCTTAGTCTTGTACATATATGTTTGGTGGTTTTACATATATCTTATTGCACGAGTTTTGCAACTATGCTTATTTCAAAATGAAAAGATGGTAAATCCTTGACTAACGGGATGTCTGTTTTATACTTGAATTCGAATCTTGTGATGCTTTAAGTTTGAAGAATGGATAATTTCCATGTGATGGTCTTCTTGAATTTTAGATAGATATCTCATCAACTAATGTTCAACACTTGGGACCTTCTGAAGTTATACCTTTTGACAATAATCTACTGTAATTTTTCATAAAATTTGTCCTCGTCTATTGGCAATGCCATTGGCCAGGTCATTCACTGTTCATGTCATGAAGCACGAAGAATTTTGAATCAAATTATTCAAGCCAAATATGATAAACATACACTTAGGCAACAGGTTCTTAGATGCACAACTTATTATATCTAGCTATGGAATACAAGGTAGTAGGTACCTGGTCAACTCATTTTTTTAACCTCTAGGATATGGGCCTTTGTGCTAAACATCCTACCTACCGACCTGATGGGTCCAACAGACATAGAAACAATCTGGACATGGACAAATAATATAGGGCCTGAAGGGTCCAAAATTGTTACCCATGAGAGGATCCATGTCTGGGTCTAGTAGAACCTGGATCAGACCCTATATAACAACACTAGATAATCCAGCGAGGCCACAACGATCAATGACAACTACTTTAGCTTTAAAGTTCCAATACTCAACCATTTTTGCAAATAGAGAGAATGCCAAAGGCTTAAACTTATACTAACCTATTTGGGATCCATGGATACACACACCCACTGTAAATTTATACATTACTATACAGGGATTGAACAAGAAAGCAAAATACCTGTTGAAGATTCATGAAGAGTGAACAGTGATATGGAATAAACTAAAGAAGAAACGATACCTGTATCAATTGCTGAGCAGTTTGAACCTGTGAAGCACTCCCAGTAATCTCCACGGTCATCTCTCCAGGAACACCCCTTGTTTCCTGTATAGTCACGGTTGCCCCACTAGCTCGACGAATATAGCTGATGCTTGCACCAGCATTCCCAATTACAGCATCAGCATAGGAGAGTGGAATTTGCATGTGCTGTGTAATCTGTCAAAGGCCCATATCATCACAAATTGACTTAGAGAGCTTCTACATCCTCATTAGAGACTTTTATATATAATATAAGACATACCTGAGAGGCCATCGGTGGTGGTTGTTGGTTAGATGATGGTGGGGCCCCCATAGGTGGTGCTTCTCGTCCGTATGTAGATATGCCATGATGAGGTGGTTTCTCAAAAGGAGGAACATCAGGCGGAGGATAAAAGTTATCTTGAGGACGAGATTGAGGCATGAAATGTGGATTTCCATAACCCGGATTGCCCCCATAACCCGGATTTCCTCCATAACCAGGATTGCCGCCATAGCCCGGATTACCGCCATAGCCCGGATTACCGCCATAGCCTGGATTACCGCCATAGCCAGGAAGACCGCCAGGGCCTTGAGGAGGACCCCATGGCTGAGGTGGTGGAACATTTTGCTCCATATGTGGATGTGGCATTTGCATCTGTGTAGATTTATTAAAGATAAGTTCAATAAGTCTTCACGAATGACACCTGTGATTGCCAGCCAAAACCATGCTTGAATAATAATACAATCATCTTACTTGCATTTCAAACAGCGGTATAACACTGCGATCAACAAGAAACTTCCTTAAATGGGAAGAGATCAGTTCAACGGCTTTATGCACTCCTGTCGGATCTCCTTGTATCTCAACAACTCTGTCATCTTGTAAAGCAACAGGAGGCAGATCATCTGAAGTATTTCAAACAAACATCATTATGAACAAGTCAAAAACGAGAAGAATAAAGAGAATGGTATTAAAAGAAAGGTACCAGTTTTTACTGTTATTGATTCCCTTCGCAATAGGTTTTCATTCTTAGTATCCAGATAGCCAACCTACCTTCATTTAGTCTATGGTTTTTTTCACTTGGAAACCACCTTAAAAATAGGGTCGGTATATGTAAACCACCTTTTATTTTCAATATACACGTAAACCACCTTTAAACTGGGGTTTTTTCTCCAATCAGCCACCTTGACCCATGTTTTAACTCTTAAAACCCAATAATACCCTTACAGTTCGCACATTTTTTACATGTGTTCTCTCATAACCAGCCCTCAACAAACCCTAGAACTCATAACCAGCCCTTAACCAACCCTAAGCTATATGTTAGTAACAGACCCCGGCTAACTAAACCCCAAAAACCCTAAGCTATATGTTAGTAACAGACCCCGGCTAACTAAACCCCAAAAATTCTATCGCCCTGATGAAGCTGACAAAGTGGTCCCGAGTCCCACCCCAAAATTTCTCTTCAATCTCCGACATTTCTCTTCAATTGTTGATGAAACACAACTTTGACAAGATTTCTTCTTCTTTGCGAAGAAATTTATGGATCTAATGTTTGGTGGTTGAGGGATTATGTTCCCTGGTACTTCTAATAGAAGCCATACATGTACCCGACACGTGTTGTATCCATACCCAACACTTCATGGACACTCCTTAAAATGTATGCATGTATGTATTCAGACCTGTACTCAATCAAACAATGCATGTTTAATTTAAACACTCGTCATACACTTCTTGATTATATATCCTACACTTCACATCCATTTTGTAAGTTGTTATCTAATCATTTCAGCCATAAGAACACGATTTGGAAGGATAATTTACATATATAGCTGAGAACTATGATTATATCCCACGAGTTTTAGCCATGTCCGCATAGCGTACCTTCTACAATTTTGCCATGTCATGCACCGATACACATACACGTGCAACTTAGTTGGAGAGATCGGGTTTAAATAAGAGAGGGAGGGAGGGAGGGAGGGGAAAGGGGGGACGCACCTTTAAATTCTTACATTTTTGTAATATCTTGGGTTATTATGGTGGGTCAACAGTTCAAGGTTGGTTAAGGTCTGGTTAGAGAGGAGTCACGTGAAAAATACATGAGAAATGTAAGGGTATTTTGGGTTTTAAGAGAAAATTTACCAAAAAGTGGGGTCGTTGATTGGAATAAAAACCCCACTTTAGAGGTGGTTTTTATATAAATTGAAAATGAAAGATGGTTTACATATAATGACACATTTTTAAGGTGGTTTCCACAAAAAAAAAATCCTTTTAGGAGGAAAAGAAGGTAAACCCAAATAGGGCAATCATAATCAAAAGGGAGTGGGATTAATGTCCACTGCCTCTTTTTTCAGGCCTTGGTCATTTCTGACAGGCACTTGCATACTCAAAGTCATTTTAATTCAGCATGGATTGTAGGAAAGAACTACAAGTGGGAAGAAAGATTTGGTAATAACAGAACACACAACAATTGACAACGGAACCAGAGTGCCTACAGCTAAAGGTGAGAAATACAACGGCATGGGCCAGTGTCCAGTAAATAACAAAGAAAATACAAACCATACTGACAACATTTAGCGCAATCAAAACATAAGTAAAAGTAATCTTGGGGGAAACAGCAGGTAACAATAGTCATCTTGGGGAAACAGCAGGTAACAGTTGAAGTAAAACCTAGAGAAGACAACCACCAAAGACTGCAGCAAATACAGATAGATTAATGAAAAAAAGAAAGAAATGTCAGGATGTCCATACCAAGAATACGAACAATGCAGCTTGACCCTTCTTGTATTGACTTTATAGTTGCTCCTTGTTTCCCAATCAGACTTCCCGCTTGCGTAGCTGGTACTAGCAATCTTGTATGTATCGCATTACCAGGAGGAGCAATGGCAGAGTCCTTCTCCAATCCGTCGAGTGTACGCTTATGGACTTTCAGCAGACCGTCCATAGCAGGAGAAAGATAACAATCTGCCTCCTCTTTCGCTGAGACCATTACCTTCAGCAAGCAATTAAAATCAAGTTGAGATAATATGATGAGAGAGGAGAAATAGTCTAATCTAATAGAAATTTCAGTAATCAGCAAATACTGTTCGTGAAGCTAAATTTCATGATCATAACTCCACCAGACAGTGAATCAACTAAATAAGTAACTTTATACACTAAACTACCATATCAATGTAATGAAGCATATGTGTCAGATAAAGCATTAAGAACTATGTCTCATTTAAAGAAGCAAATAACAATTTTAGACTCGATGCAGTACTTATTAAGGGCTCTGACTTCTAAGCAAAATGAAGAAACAGAGGAGAGAGACCAATAACCTTGCAGCCTCGTAACTTATGATTTCTTGCAATACCTCTAAATGCAATAGTAACTGCAAATCCATGCTAAGGTCGAAACTAATAAGTTCAGGGATGGATCATAGTGAAGAATTTAAATGGCATATTTTAGCTCGTGAACGCTATCCACATCTCAAAAGATGATGGTTATCTGGCTTTTATATTCATTGTTAGTGCTTAGATTTCATTACAACTTATCTAAATAACGCATGCATAAATTTAAAAGAACATTATAAAACAGAATCAAATCATTAATTCGGTAAAATGGCCATATTTTTCTTAAGTAACTCCAGATTTTATTACCCTAGAAGTATGCTGGTTCATCCCTTGCACTAGTTGACTTTCAGTGTATTCAAAAGAAAATATGCCCTTTTCAAAACATATCAAGAAATTAACAAAAAAAAGCAATCAATTCACCGTTAATTAAGGAAAAGAAATCAAACTATAATCTAAAATATAATATAGTTCATATTTGATATGAATCATAAACTTAAGCACAAAGAACCCAGACCAAACTTCAGCCAGTAGGGTATTAACTTGACCACCATTTACGCTTGTGTCCCACTCCAATTCCAATCCAAATTAACTACAGTAGGCACAATATGAGCTTGTTAGAATGCAGATAAGGGGTAAAAAAATAGCATTTATGATTAGCAAACTTGAGGTGCACATCTTGGAATAGTTGTCTGTATGAAAAACATAGCATTTCCATGACAAGACTTCTTACCTGTGCCTTTTATTCTGAATGCTCCTTACCAGAATAATAGTTCGTATTTTGGCTAGAAGGCCAGGAATTTAACCGATGCTGAAGTTTATAAGTTATGTTAACTTTTCAGGCCAGACAGTAAAGATGTACATACACTTCTTTCTTATGGTCTCATTATGAGTATACATTTGCAAGCAGGTATGAAGTCAATCATTTCAATACTTTGAAGAACTTGGAGCAGACTTCAAATTATCCTCTTTAATATGTTCTAAAACTTCTATGTCGGCTTCTCTAATTAAATTCGGACTAGTTGCTAAAGGACTCAAAATATCTTGTACATTAAATGGATCTCAAAGTAGTTGAAAACTGATTTTATTCGGATAAAACCACAGAGACCATAATCCTTGTAAACTGTAGATGTCTAATTGTTTGCACTGGATTATGCATCACTCATCTCGAGTCATCATATACTGCAGTTCCAATGTCGCCATGGTTAATAAACCTGAGATATTGGAATGCTTAGGTTGTTAGCTGAATTATGCATTTTCCAGACAAACCAGTTACCAAGAAACGTTTCTGAATTGGAGGCTCCATGGGCAGATTCAACTAAGTGTAAAAAGAAACATAGCCAAGTAAGCTATAAGAAAAGAGACGTCCTCAATGAACTTACATGGCCAGTGCTACAAGGTTTAAGATCATAATATTACAGCTTCCTGCCCTAGCTAAAATTTTCCAGAACTTTTGGAAGTGTACAATTCCATAATTAAGTACCCAGCCATTCAGACTATACATGCATATTAGAGAGAACATAACATGTTTAAAAATATTAGCCAAAAATAAGAGGATTTGAACTTTCAGGTATTATGCATTTTAGGCACCCCCAACATTACTCATTTTGAAAAAAAGACCACAGCGTTAAGTGTTTTTATTCCCATTAGACCCATATGGAAACTTTATGTATATTTAACCCCGAACAGAATTCATTACAACATTAATTTTTTTACGACAGGAATGTATCTGTGCACGTTAATCTGATACTAATTACTTTTTAATACTTTTAAGCACCAGAATTGGATTTTCTATGTGATTCAACAAGGAGGAAAGATATATAGTCCTAGACAACCCCATAGTTGTTGGTAAACATAGTGTATTTTCCTTTTTAAAGATTTAAGGGTTTTCTGAATACATAATGCTTATTCCATTTTATTGGGCACGTCTCAACAACAACGTTGTTATGCAGCCTCTCAGACCACTAGATCCCATTTTCTTTAGAGATATTGACAAAACCAATCAACTAGGTTATGGAGTTACCAGATAAATCGAGAAGCCTCTTGGAAAGAATGTTCGCCGAAGATACATCGAAAGAGCTTAGTCAAATCATATTGGCAGAAATGGTGCTCAAAAAGCTGGTCTTTGCAAACCGGAACTTTGTTCTTCTTATTTTGGTTCACAATGAAGATTTGATCTGTTGCCTAGGTCTGCAGACAGAACCTGCACAGATTCATTTGGTTATTGTGATGAAAGGTGATTGAGTGGGAATTTCATTGGATAGTTTGAGGTGATTATTCCCCTTGTCAGCATCCATCATATTCAGTTTAAATTCTTAGTTAATCATAAATTTTAGAATTTGTTAATTTAAATTATGAAATTCCTGGGTATTTAGATTCCAATATAGTGGCTCCTTGATTAAAGCACCAGGTCTTGTCCATTATTTCTCCGGTGCCCAACATAATGTAATTATAAGGAAATTATTATGTACATGAGGCTTAAAAGTCGCTATTGCCAAACACTAATGGCACGAGGTCATCAAGAAACACACTAATGATTTTTAATTAAAAGGGGACAAAAATCCTTGCTCTCCTTTCTTGTAAATGATAAATTTCAATGATGACTCATATAATACCTAACTGATTAATTAATACGCATCAAAGAAAGAACCAAAAAAATGACAAGTTGACATTAGGGAGCATGTTGAAGAAGAAACATGAGAAAAAAACTTCAGTCTCTAATAAGTGCTCCGGATTCTCTTAGAACCTAATCATCAACGGAGGAAGTGTTTTAGGTGAAGGCAGATAATTTCTTTCACAAAAAAGTAATCAGGACTCTGGAACACATCTTAGTACCTAATCAGCAAAGGTTGCAGAGAAAAAAGGAAGTGTCTTAGAGACATGATGGAACTCTTTCGTGGAGGACAATACAGAAGATTGAGAAAACAAATATTAGGGGCACTTGATCACACTTTGAAGACCCAGAAATAGTAGATGTCCACAGAAGCAGGCATAACTGGGAGGTCTTATTATATACCTAGGAAAAAGTATCTTTAACCAAATAAAGGGAAAAAATCATAGTCCTACTAAATAGCAGATGGCATGTCATAAAAAAAGGCTTGTTAACTGATTTTCAATAGAAAACGATATCACAATATGAGGCATAATTAACCAGCATTGAGGAAAGAAGCACCAACAATCAAGAATGTGATAGTTCCTAAAGAATCACAAAAACAGAAAGACAAATGACCAGGGATTGAGAGCAGAATTAGAGAACAAATATTGACAGACACATAGCTGGGATCTAACAGACCATTTGAACAGGAAGTTAGAACAAAGTATTGAAGGCAAGTTAATTCTTTCCCCCTTTTTCTTCTTCTTTCATTTCCTCCCTTACCTTTTCATAGGGTAAAGGACAGAGAGGAAGGGGAAGTGGGGGAGAGAGAGATGGGAAGAGGGGGAAGGGCTTGGAGTTAGTGTGCATGACATATTTACATATATATAGATGCATACACAAATATATATACATATAATTCTCAAAAAGTTCTAAAACACATGAACAGTCCCAGCCTACCCCAGGGCTATTACTTGAACAAGAAACCATCTAGGATTCCAATATGTAATTTCACTAAAACTTTTAGATTTATTAATTTACAGTGAACCTCCTTAGATAATTTCAAGAGTATGAAACCGTTTAAAAAAATTGTCCAATTTGAATCAGCCAATGTCATCCTGCATTCAAAGAGGAGGTATAAAGCACTTGTTCTACCATTGCCAACAGGTTAGATAACCTCCAATCACATTTGATGAATCTAGCATGCATGAGAAGAAATAATATCGAAGGAAAAGAGTGACAATGAACGGCCATGGAACATAGTACATTGAGTAAATATTCTCATCATCAGGTAATAAGCTAAAAACTAAAGGAAGACATGTACATCATAAATAGATTGGAAGATGCTACCAAAGCATGAGCAAAAATTAAGGCGTCTAAGGTGAACAATTTCAAATGATAATATCAATTTCTGAGCAGGATTATTAAGGCATTTGTGGTTGCTATTTTTGTTTTACACTAAATGCAGCCTTCTGCAACTGCAGTTCACGCAACAAACAAAACTTGTTGTTAATTTGGTTGTGGTAGTAACTTATTTTCATTGTTTTAAATATCCCCAGCACTGACCCGATATATCTTGCTACAGGGCTTACCGCAACCAAATGATATCCTTTATCGCTTTTTGGCTATTTTAGGCGATATATCTCCGATATGGTCAATATATCTGCCGATATGTTGACCAATATATCCATTTTATATGGCTTGTCGCAAAACAATATACCGCGTTTGGCAAATATCATGATTTTCCCATTATATTAAATGACATTTTGGCCTAAAAAATCAGACAAAATGTTGTAATGTTGATTTGTACTTTTGTTTGTTTTACAAGGTTGATTACCGATTTTAAACATACATTATTTACATTTTGTATGCTTAGATTTCATTAAGTTTGTTGAGATTATATTTTAGTGCATTATACTATGTAAAATATCTATTATGGCGATATTTACCACATATGCCAGACATTTCCCTGATATCCACAATCCGATATGAATATTGATCATCCGATATTTCCCCAATATCTGATATTTAAAACCTTGCTTGTTTTTCGAAAAAAATGATCCATTTGCAACTCAATTGGAAAAAGTTACAGTTGCAACAAAACAAATAGCCACAGCTACAGAGTTGTCTTTTGCAAATTGCAGCTACATTTTAGTTGCAATTTACCAAGAATAAGACAACCCCTAAATTCACACCCAAAAAAGACATACTGAACATGAAATCAAATGCAGAAGGAAAACTATGGAGTTCGCAAAACAGGAAAAAAAAAGATTCTCTTCGGGAGGAACAAGCCTTATAATATTAAGATATTCCATATACAGTAACGTGCGACCATTTAAAATACCCACTTCACCTAAATACTTACAGCTCTTTCGGGTGCACCTTGAGGACCATCAAGAATCTTAATACGAGCTCCAGATTCTTCACACATTTTTTTTATAGATTCTCCCTTACGACCAATAATGCCACCAACTTTTTGTGCAGGAACTAGTATGCGGAAGACATTCTCTCCAGGCCAACCAGGCCACCTTTTCTCAACAACGTCAGCTCCTAGATTATTATCATATCCTTGTTTCTGGTCGTCCGTGTTCTCAACCTCTTTGGATTGCTCACCAAAATTTGGCTGTTCACCAAAATTTGGCTGCTCTTCAAAATTTGGCTGCTCTTCAAAATTTGGCTGCTCTCCAAAATTTTCCTCACCAAAATTTTCGACAGGTTCTTCCATAATATCTGGCACCCAACATAGATATTGTTAGGAGAGTTCAGTGCTAAGGCTATAAGTTGCCAAGTAATAGTCTGACTCATCAAAATAATAAATATCATGACTCTCTTAAAGATGGAATAGGGAAGGGGAAAAAAGGCTATATACACTGTAAAGATACCAATTTACAGATGCTTCAAAGAAAGCAACTAAAGCAAGATAATCAAAATGACTACTTTACCTGTATGCCAGATAAATCATACATATCCTACTCTATCAAGACAAATTAAAAAATAAAGATACTGATTTGCTTAACTACCTATGATTTTGTTTGATCAAGATGCCACCCTCTACCCTATTCTCTGCAACTACTATCATTGTCTTCTCTTCCTCTCTTCTAAAATTGATATCCCTAGTAATGTAGGAAATACAATCCATGATGTTTGTAGAAAACTCCAACAATGTCTCACCTGAAACATCACGTCTAGACCCTCTTTTCTACTACATATGCACCAATCTGCTCCAACACTCAGCCTAACTACTGGGGAGTCTGCTGTTTTTTACACAGAGAGAGACAAGTCATGGCTCCAGGAAAATGTCATTCCTTCATTTTGGCCAGACCTAATTTTTCCAACATGGACATTTGATTCTACACCAACCATTAAAAAAATTCCTATACATAAACTTAAAACCAACACTATGTACATATTTCATTCTCATATATAAACTTACAGTCAACAGCACAGGCATTATTTACATTTTGCATTTTATTTCCCAAGTCTTCATCAATTTGAGATCTATCTAGGTGCTCTATGGTTAACTAGCTCAAATTTGTATTTCCATCTAACACATAAAACTTCCAGTTTTTCAAACTTTTTGCCATTCATGTAACCATTTTTTTCAAAAAAAAATCAAATTATCATGCTTTTTTTCTACTAGAGAAGTGATCTTTGCGCTCATTTCAACTTTTTAATCATTGATGCAATGATATTGAAAGAAAAAGAAAACCTACAGACCATGATGTTTTATAGTGGTGAGTGTCCTTGTGCTCATCTAGGTGATCAAGTCTTAATTCCAATGTCCCAGTTTAACTTGAAACTAGTAAAGGCAAAGGAAACTTTTTGAACATGGATGCAATGATTTTTTAAAGCATCGTACGAAAATCATACTTCTTTTTTAACAGTGGTGGGCATCCTCGTGCTCACCTGGGCAATAAGTCCAATTTACAAATTTTTGGTTTAACTTGAAAATAGTGAAGGGCTGAAGGCAAAGGAAAATGTGCATAAATCCTTCTCTTTCTTCGTTCAATACTTCGCAATCAAACAAACAAGATAGATGGATTGTCTCAAAATCCAAAAATCGCTTGGCCGAAATAAATGGTGGAAATAGACTCCTATAGAGAACATTTCCAAACAAATGCTCTCCCAATGATTCTGAATTTGTGCAACCATCAACTAAACATATGCCAAGCATAATAAATAAGAAAAGGGCCAAACACCCCATTACATACTGGCATTCAGAAGCATACCTAAATGGGATCTCTAGCTTAATTCTCCATTGTGCAATGAATTTTTCTTTTAATGCTTCCACAAACATCACGATTTAAAAGTCTATGATTCATTAAGCACAAACTGCCATTTTCTAGACAGAGCCTTTCATCTCAAATAGTACAAAGTGCCAATCTAATAATTGTGATTCTGATATATTCCAGCTTACCCAGGTAGAACCAGGAAACTTGTAGTTTTACAATCTTCATCAAACACCAATATCACAGACAAATTAATTAAACATAAGCACCAACAGTAGATCATAATATAGATGGGTACAGCCTAAATTTAGCTAGATTTTCTTTAAGGTTCCACATTAGCGTGTTATATTCTACAAACTGAACCATAATAACAGATTAACATCTCTTGAGCTCCAAAAAGGCTGCAACTTTTCGCGAAATTCAACATTACAAGCAAAGGCAATAGCTAATTAGATAAGAAATTTAGCGAAATCTACAGTGATTTTAACAAATAATAACAGCGAAAGACATGTAAACTAAAAAGCTCCTAGTAAATAAAATTACAGGCTAAATTTCAGATCTCTCCATCAAAGAACCCTCAAGTCAGGAGCATAAAAAACAAAACCCTATATTAACTCAGTCCTAGCGATCCACAGACCAGAATCTACGAAATCCGAACAAATCTATCAGCATCATCACTCGCAAAACCCTGGAAACCGTAAATAAAGGTTGTCGAAAGAGAAAAAGGGAGATAATCTCCACTAGTTTCCTGTCGACTTACAGATTCTTGAAGAGAGAGGCGACGGCGAGAAAGCAAGATTAGGGAGAGAGGGCAAAGGGGGGATTTTTATAGGAGGCCGCCCTGGCCCTTGCTGTGATCCTTCTGCCTTGGCGGAATTTTGCAACAAAGTTCAACTAATATCTTAAATTTGCAAGTTTAGCCTTCGCGCGGAGCGTGTGAGATTTCGTCGATTTCGGACTCGATGCCGTCGTGGTCCGTAGCGCACGTTTAGAGGCTGGACGAGGGAGTACCGGAGATCCACTGTCTGGTTCCAAACAGCATTTATCATCTCTGCAAGCAGGACACATGGTGGGACCGGAAATTTTCAATTGGACGGAGGAGATGCAAAAGCTGTGGTTGCAACGCTTTTATGGGCTTGGCCCGGCCAAGCAGTCTACATAGCCTTCACAGAAAGCTTTATTTTTGGAGCCCACAACAACCTTTTAAAAACTAGTTCGTGGTAAAATATTAAAATTATTTATTTTTTTTACTAAGATAAGTTAAATTCATTTTGAGTTAAAAACTATAAAGATGGATTATTATATTTGCTATAAATTTTATTTAAATATTTTTAAAAAGATTTATGAAATAGATTTGTGTGTAAAACTGGCACCAATATACATTTATATACTTGCATACACAACATTATTTTTTATTAAATTTGTATATATCAAACATCATGTAACATATTTGTTTATCGGATCAAGTCATCGATCTCCAATTTGTTTATCTTAGTCATTGAATGTAGTGTTAAGCTTGAAAAAGATACAATAATATATTGTTGATGTGTTAATAAAAATATAACCAAATACTTAATTTTAAGATGGTTTGTATAAGCTCAGCACACAGCACATACTTTTCACAAGATTACAAGACATCTTAATTATTGATAGACTTAAAATAAAAAAACAAATACTAATGATGACTCTAGTATAATTTATATGACAAAATCATTCACATAAGCATATTAAAAATTTTGCATGAAAATCCCTTCTAAAGATTCCTAATTTTACTCAAAAATTAAGTTTTACTATAAAATATTCAAAAAATATTATCATTTATTCCTTCTTTTCATATTTAATTGAGACGATATCAATTCTTCTCCACTTTTATCTTTTTCCTGGGCAAATTTACAATAGTGTTTGCATCGTCTACATCAATTGTGCTATCAGATTGGTATACAATAAAGAGCAAAAGACAAGTCAATAGTCCAAAAATATATTAGGATATACTTGGATCAATCAAATTATATTATTACTCATAATTGATATGCATCAGAGACAAAATGTATTGACAATCTTAACTATAAAACAAATTGTATTGGTCCTCTAACATCACTTTTTTTAAGCAAGAAACCCGCAAGATTAATTTTGAAAATCTCTTGGAGCCAGAATTAAACAATTAACAAGTTTGTAGTGGAAGTTAGAGGAACGTAGTACCTTCTTAAGAATTATTAATCTTTACTTAATTTGTTTATAATAACATGATCTTATTATTAACTAACTACAAGGCCTAGTACATTATTATTTTTATTGGGCGTTCAAGGCAAGCAGAGGATCTAGGTTGTTTGGGGAGAAAGTCGATTTGTTCATTGATGTGTTCATTACAACTTCAAACATTACAATGAAAACAAAAGTTAGTCTTTTTATAAGACCTTTACACAATAAAAACAAAAAAAAAGTACAACTCTCGTCAAATAGCGTAACGGATGTTTATTGCCCGCTGCTTGCGTGAGATCTTAACCTGTGACGGGGATGTTGATATCCGTGGACCACCAAACGACCAGATCAGATCCGGAGCTTCGTCGATTCGCGAAGGAATCACGAAACCGAAGTAATTATCTCGGCAACAGCGAGATAATCACTCTTCTCGAGATTACCGCAACGGGGCAATCTCAAGGCAAAGGACCGGGAAGTGTAGATTTGACGAGCTCCTCTTCTTTATGCTGACAAACTCTATCCGATCTCCTCCTCTCTTTTGAAATTAGTGCTCCTTCAGTCTTTAGTTCAGCGAGGCTTCGCCAACGCTCGAGAATTCTAGATCTAAAAAATAAAGGCCCTAGGCTGTATTTATAGGCTTCGGGAGCTCTGTTTTCAGATAAGAACGGTTGATTCATTCTTATCCTCAGTTATAACCACTTAACCATGTTCTTGGATGATATTTTATCAGTTAGAACAAATTCAGATGGTTAATAGTCGAAAAATAGCTTAAATCTACCAAAAACAGTATTTTTGGGCTGCGGACACCCGTGGGTGTCTCGACCAAGCATTGGCCGAAACACCATTTGGTGTCTCGGCCAAGCTTTGGCCGAGACACCACTTGGTGTCTTGGCCAAACTTTGGCCTGAACTTGGTCTCACATGTTCCGTCCGTTTCCGTCATATCTTCATCGTCCGAACTCGGTACTACGTGGTTCAAGATGCGTCGAAAAGCTAACAAGGAGATCTATGAGCTCCCATGGTTGAATCACATGTGAAGTGGACAGGACACAAGGGGTGCTTCATCTTTCGTAAGTGGCGCGGAGCTCCCGGTCTATTCGTGTTTCCGTTATTCCGAAGTTGTGTTGCTTCGCATGGTTCGTCGACTCACTTCATACGTTTGTCGTCATCAAATGAGCTTTTGTGACTCGGATAATAACATTCATCATATTCTCTCTGTCTCGAGCCACGTGCATGGACCTATAGGCAATTTTTGACACCTACAGATACCCCCTCCAAAGTGTTTCAGTCTCGTTTCTTTTATAGAGGAGCCTAAAATACTTTGGATGTGATCGGTCCAACCTTCAGTCGGTGTAAGAGGACCTGTAGTTAGCTTTGACTCTTGACTCCTTTGATTTTTAGTCTATTCAATATGAATAGCTAAAATTCTTCCGGCGCTACGTTAATCGTCTGGCCGTCGTCGAAGTCTCGAATCAAAAATTGGTGAATTTATTTTGGCTAGTGTCATCGAGTTGACTCAGAATTGACTATCTCTGAATAGTGTTGAGTTTAGGGTTTCGGATCGCCTGGCGTTGACTTTTTATCGTAACGTGTTGACAGGCGTTGACTTAGGGTTGCGCGTTGACCGGTGTTGACCTTAGGGTTTCGGATCGCCCGGCGTTGATTTTTTATCGCAATGTGTTGACTAGCGTTGACCTATAGTTACGCGTTGACCGGTATTAACCTTAGGGTTTCGGATTATCTGGCGTTGACTTTTCATCGCACCGTGTTGCCCTAGAGTTACGCGGCGTTGACCTTAGGGTTTCAGATCACCCGACGTTGACTTTTTATCACAACACGTTGACTAGCGTTGACCTGGGGTTACACATTGACCGGCGTTGCCTTTAGGGTTTCGGATCGCCCAGCGTTGACTTTTTATCTTAACACGTTGGCTGGCGTTGACCTAGGGTTACGCATTAACCGGCGTTGACCTAGGGTTACGCGTTGACCGACGTTGACCTTAGGGTTTCAGATCGCCCGGCGTTGACTGGCGTTGACCTAGGGGTTACGCGTTGACCTGTGTTTCCCTTAGGGTTTTGGATCGCCCGACGTTGATTTTTCATTGCAACGTGTTGACTAGCGTTGACCTAAGGTTACGCATTGACCGACTTTGACCTTAGGGTTTTGAATCGCCCGGTGTTGACTTTTCATCGCAGCGCGTTGACTGGCATTGACCTAGGGTTACGCGTTGATCGATATTGACCTTAGGGTTTCGGATCGCCCGACGTTAGCTTTTCATCGCAATGCATTGACTGGCGTTGACCTAGGGTTACGTGTTGACCGGCGTTGACCTTAGGGTTTTGGATCGCCTGGCGTTAGCTTTTCATCGCAACGCGTTGACTGGCGTTGACCTAGGGTTATACGTTGACCGGCGTTGACCTTAGGGTTTCGGATTGCCTGGCGTTGACTTTTTATCGCAACGCGTTGACGTAGGGTTACGCATTTACCGACGTTGACCTTAGGATTTCGGATCGACGGGTGTTGACTTTTCATCGCAACGCGTTGACTGTCGTTGACCTAGGGTTACGCGTTGACCGGCGTTGATCTTAGGGTTTCGGATCGCCCGGTGTTGACTTTTCATTGCAACGCGTTACCTGGTGTTGACTTAGGGTTATGTGTTGACCAGCGTTAACCTTAGGGTTTTGGATCGCCTAACGTTGACTTTTCGTCACAACGCGTTGGCTGGTGTTGACCTAGGGTTACGCGTTGACCGGCTTTGACCTTAGGGTTTCGGATCGCCCGGCGTTATTTGGTGTTGATTTTCATTAGAATAACCAATCACCGGCAAAATTGGGCAAAATCAGCTCATGAAAAAACACTGGGGGCCCGGCCTAAGCCCGAGACACCACTAGGTGTCTCGACCTTGGCCGAGGCACCCAGTGGTGTCTCGGTCGAGACACCCTATGTCTCTTTCCTTTTTTTTGTCCTTTTGTAGTACTTTCATTCCCCCTCTTTCCCAAAATTTCAAAAAGAATTCTTTCCCCCCTAAACTCCTTCTTCCTCCTATTATCCAAAACTTCTCCACCAAACCCATTTTTTCTTCTTCAAAAACTCTCAACCCAACCAAACTCTTGCTTTTAAAAACCCATTAATCCCTCAACAAAATTTTGGATTTTCTTCTCTTGTTTGGCCGAAAATCCTCTCTTCATAAAGCTAGGGTTCATTGCAATTTCAAGCTTAAGATTTGGACTTTTGAATTGGGTTTGGAAGCTTTTGATTTGGGTAAGCTATTTTCTTCATCCCCTCTATATTGCACACTTGATTTTGATCCAAAAATTCATGGTTTGGATATAAAGATTAAAACTTTACTCTTGTAGTGTGGGTATGTAATGCAAAGATTGAATCTTGATGATGGGTTTTGAAAGTGGCCAAAATTTTGGGGGGTTTTATGCAAAAACAAGGCCAAAATTTTGAGGGGCTTTTGTGTAAAATAGGGCTAAAATTTCAAGGGCTTTTGTGTAAAAGTGGACTGAAATTTTTAGGGCTTGGATTGTGTGCCTATTTGGCCAAAGCTTTGAGGAGTGTTTTATGTAAAAAGACCACCAATTGTTGAGGGGTTTATTTGCAAAAATGCCAAAATTTTGTTGGGGGTTTTTTTGCAAAAAAAATCTAAAATTTTAGGGCTGAAA